GGCAGCGGAGGGAGCGGCACGGCCGGGGATGCGCCGATGGGACGGGGACGGGGTGGGGAGCGCGGGCAGAGCCGGGGGGACACGGCCAGGGGAGTGACACGGGCACAGGGGAGTGACACGGGCACAGGGGAGTGACACGGGCACAAGGGACACCGGGCCAGCGGGCGGCCCCAGCAGCGGGAGGGACAGCAAAGGAAACCCCGGGATGTGCCAGGGGGTCCTGGGCAGGGGACACGGCTGGGGGACCACCCTGGGAGGACAAGAGAGGGACCCCAGGACATGGCAGGGGGTCCTGGGCTGGGGACATATCTGGGGAGGAGAGAGGGGGACCCCAGGACGCGGCAGAGGGACGCGGCCAGGGGATGTGGGTGGGTGGGGGTCCTGGGGAGGGCACTGCGGTGGCCCCGCGTGTCCCCGGGTGCCACATAGATGGCATCTGGCTGCGGGGCACGGGTCAGGCTGGGGACAGGGGAGGGGACCCGAGAGGTGACATGCGGCCGGCCGCTGTCACCGCAGGGGCCATGCTGATGGCCATCCGGCTGCGGGGCATGGACGCGGGTGAGACGCTGGCCCTGACCCGGGCCATGGCCAGCTCTGGCCGGACGCTGGCCTGGCCGCCCGCCTGGCACGGGCTGGTGGTGGACAAGCACTCAACCGGTGGCGTTGGGGACAAGGTCAGCCTGGCCCTGGCCCCCGCGCTGGCCGCCTGCGGCTGCAAGGTGAGGGGGACCCGGGGATGGGGCGGGGACGGGGGGATCCCCGAGCCCCTCCTGTGCCCACCTGTGCCCCTCCCCAGGTGCCCATGATCAGCGGGCGCGGGCTGGGCCACACCGGGGGCACCCTGGACAAGCTGGAGGCCATTCCCGGGTTCCGCGTGTCCCAGAGCCCCGAGGAGGTGACGGACGGGGACACCACGGGCACCCTCACACCCTGCAGGAACCGGGCTCGGGGGCACCGGGGCTCCAGAGGGCTGGGGGTGACAATGGGGTGACGATGGGGTCCCACTGGGTGTGGGGTGCCAGTGGGGTGTCCGTGGGGTGTCACAGGTTGTGGGTTCTCACGGGGTCCCAAAAGGTGCAGGAGAAGATGGGGAGTGCCCTTGGGGTGCCCATGGGCTGTGTGGGTGTCAGTGGGGTGTCCATGGGTGTCCATGGTGTGTCCGTGGGGTGTCCATGGGGTGTTCATGGGGTGTCCATGAGTGTCCATGGTGTGTCAGTGGGGTGTCCGTGGGATGTCCGTGGGGTGTCCGTGGGGTGTCCGTGGGGTGTCAGTGGGGTGCCCATGGGGTGTCCGTGGGCGTTAGTGTGGTGTCCGTGGGGTGTCAGTGGGGTGCCCATGGGGTGTCCGTGGGCGTTAGTGTGGTGTCCATAGGGTGTCCGTGGGGTGTCCATGGGGTGTCAGTGTCAGTGGGGTGTCCGTGGGTGTCCATGGGGTGTCCATGGGGTGTCAGTGGGGTGTCCATGGTGTGTCCGTGGGGTGCCCATGGGGTGTCCATGGGATGTCCATGGGGTGTCCGTGGGTGTCCATGGTGGGGTGTCCGTGGGGTCCCACCGCACACCGGCTCCCGCAGATGCAGCACATCCTGGCGCGGGTGGGCTGCTGCATCGTGGGGCAGAGCGCGGAGCTGGTGCCCGCGGACCGGGTGCTCTACGGGCTGCGCGACGTCACGGCCACGGTGGACAGCCTGCCGCTCATCACCGGTACGGGCACGGGGCGGCGGGGACGCGCGGGAGGGGGGCGGGAGGGGCGCAGGCAGGCGGTGACGCCCCCGCCCGCCCGCCCGGCCGGCCCAGCCTCCATCCTCAGCAAGAAGGCGGCGGAGCGGCTCTCGGCGCTGGTGCTCGATGTGAAGTTCGGGGAGGCGGCTCTGTACCCCACCCAGGAGAGCGCGCGGGAGCTGGCGCGGAGCCTGGTGAGACCCCGGGGACCCCCGGGACCCCTGCCCGGCTGCCCCGCCCGCCGTCCCCTCCCGCTGTCCCTGTCCTCTGTGCCCGCCTGCTGTCCCGGGCCATTCCCGCTGTCCCTGTCCTCTGTGCCTGCTGTCCCGGGCCGTTCCCGCTGTCCCTGTCCTCTGTGCCCGCCTGCTGTCCCGGGCCGTTCCCGCTGTCCCTGTCCTCTCTGCCTGCTGTCCCGGATCATTCCCGCTGTCCCTGTCCTCTGTGCCTGCCTGCTGTCCCGGGCCGTTCCCGCTGTCCCTGTCCTCTCTGCCTGCTGTCCCGGATCATTCCCGCTGTCCCTGTCCTCTGTGCCTGCTGTCCCGGGCCATTCCCGCTGTCCCTGCTCCTGACCCTGCCCGTTGTTCCTGTCCTTGCTCCTGTTCCTGACCCTGCCCGTTGCCCCTGTCCCTGGCTGTCCGTGTCCCCACGTGTCCCGTTCCTGCCCACACTGCCTGCTGTCCCTGTCCCTGCCTGTTGTCCCTTGACCCTGTCTGTTCTTCCTACTGCCCCTGTCCCTGCCCCTGTCCCTGTTCCTATCCCTGTCCCTGCTTGTCCCCCATCCCTGCCCTGTCTCTATCCCTGCCCACTGTCCCTGCTTCTGTCCCTATCCCTGCTTGTTCCCTATCCCTGTCCCTGTCCCTGCCCACTGTCCCCGCTCCTGTTGTCCCGGTCCCTGTCCATCCCTATCCCTGTCCGCTGTCCCTGTCCTTTCCCACTGTCCCCGCCCGCTGTCCCCGCCACCCCGCGCGTGTCCCCGAGCAGGTGGAGGTGGGCGCACACCTGGGCATCCGCACGGCGGCCCTGCTGAGCCGCATGGAGCAGCCGCTGGGCCGCGCCGTGGGCAATGCGCTGGAGGTGCTGGAGGCGCTGCAGTGCCTGGAGGGGGGCGGCCCCCCCGACCTGCGACACCTGGTCACGGCTCTGGGTCAGTGGGTGACACGGGGGGACACGGGGGGACAAGGGAGGAGGCGGCGTGTGACACCTGGGTCACGGCTCTGGGTCAGTGGGTGACACGGGGGGGGACATGGGGGGCCAGGGTCTGCACACACGGGTCCTGTGTCCAGCCCCAATCCTGGGGTCCCCCTCACACTCTCTGTCCCCTCAAGGGGTCCCTGTCCCACTCCCCTTGCCCTGGCCCCTCCTCCCTGTCCCGAGCAGGGCTGGGGGCGCAGAGGGGCAGTGGGGCAGGGTTTGGGGGCTCCCCAGGAGTGGGGGTCCCAGCCCGTGTCCCGTTTGGGGTGCAGGCGGGGTGCTGCTGTGGCAGTGCGGGATGGCCGCGGGGGCCGAGCAGGGCCGTGAGCGCCTGGCCCGGGCTCTGGACGATGGCTCGGCCCTGGGCACGTTCGAGGCCATGCTGGGGGCGCAGGGGGTGCCCCCCGACACCGCCCGGGGCCTCTGTGCCGGGACCCCCGGCCAGCGCCGCCAGCTCCTGGGCGAGGCCAAGGTCTGCGAGGAGCTGCCCGCGCTGCAGGAAGGTCAGAGGGGACCCCAGCCCAAATCCTGCACCCCAAACTCCCCACCCTCTCCTCACCCCGTGCCCCTCCGGGGGGCTGAGGGTCCCCCCCATTCCCACTGCCCCCGTCCATCGCCATCCCCTCGCCCCTGCCCGGGATGGTCAACACTCCCCTGGATTATTCCCCCCACCCTGAGAGCCCTCATCTGCAGCCCCTTGCCCCCCATCCTCTGTGCTTGGGGATCCCCAAACCCCCCTGCCCCACATGCTGCTCCTCGAAGGTCCCTGGTTCCCAGTCCCGTGTTCTGGGGGTCCTCACCTGTGCCCCTGCCCCCTGTCCCTGGGCAGTTCGTGATCCTTGGGGGATGCCCATATCCTGACCCGCCCGGGCTGGGGTTTCCCCGTCATGTCCCTGTCCCTCCTCCATGTCCCTGTCCCCCCTCCTCCATGTCCTTGACCCCCCCATGTCCCTGTCCCCCCCCATGTCCCTGTCCCCCCTCCATGTCCCTGTCCCCTCTCCATGTCCCTGTCCCCCCCCATGTCCCTGTCCCCCCATGTCCCTGACCCCCACCCCCTTTTTCCAGGCTGGGTGCAGCAGGTGCGGGCGCTGCCCCTGGCGCGGGTCCTGCACCGCCTGGGCGCGGGTCGGTCGCGGGCCGGGGACCCCGTGAACCCCCGCGTGGGCGCCGAGCTGCTGGTGGGCACCGGGCAGCACCTGCGGGCAGGTGAGGGCGGCTCCCCGGAACCTCCATCGCCCCCGCGTGCCCCATGGGCATCCGCGTGTCTCCCTTCCCTCGGCGAGCCCTGGCTGGGGTGCACTCGGGTTCGGGGGGATATCTGGGGGATCAGAGCCCCCGATAACCGCTCTGTGCCCCCCGGTTGGGGAGGATATCTGGGGGGATCAGAGCCCCCCGATGACCCCTCCACGTCCCCCTCTATCAGGCGAGCCCCGGCTGCGGGTGTCCCCCGGTTGGGGAGGATATGTGGGGATCAGAGCCCCCCGATAACCCCTCTGTGCACCTCGGTTGGGGGGGGGATATTGGGGGTCAGAGCCCCCCGATGACCCCTCCGTGTCCCTCTCCCTCAGGCGAGCCCTGGCTGCGGGTGCACCATGAGGGCACCCTGGGCGCGGAGGGTCGGCGCGAGCTGCAGGACGCGCTGTGCCTCGGCCCGGAGCCCCCCCGGGACCCGCCGCCGCTGGTGGCCGAGACCATCGTGCCCTCGGGAGCCCTGCCCGGGCCATGCCGGGACTCGCAATAAACCGCGATGATCGCGATGTCGGGGCCATGTCGCGATTCACCCCAGCCCCCCCACCCACGAGTCTGAGGGCTGCGGCGCGGGGCGGTGGCGCCACCTCGTGGGTGAAGGGGAGAGTGCACGAGGGCCCGGTCACGCCCCTCACATTGGCCACGCCCCTCCCGATTTGACCACGCCCCGCCCCCATAGGCAGCGCAATCTACCTTCCGGTCACGCCCCTCATGTTGACCACGCCCCCCTCATTTTGGCTACGCCCCGCCCACATTGGGCACACACCTTATAGACCACGCCTCGTTCCGCCGTGGCCCCGCCCTTTCCCACCGTGGCCCCGCCTCCTCCCGGTATTTCCGGTTCCGGCGGCAGCGGCGCGGGCGCTCCGGGCGGGACCGGCGGCGGACGGGGCGCGGGTGGAGGCCAGAGGTCAGCGGGAACTGCACACCGCGGGTGGAGGGAGGGCACCGGGAGCGGGGAACGAGGGGCCGGGGGGCGTTCGAGGGACAGAGCGAGGTCCGGGAGTAGCAGGGACAGGGATGGGGTCCTGAGGGCAGCAGGACGTGGGGTCAGGGCGCATTTGGGCTGGGGGTCCAAGGGCACGACGGGGGCAGGGGGTATTTGGGGGGCAGGGTTGGAGTCCAAGGGGATCAGGAGTGGTAGGATGAGGAGTCAGGGGGCATTTGGGTTGGAGGGCTGGGGGTCCGAGAGCAGCAGGGCACGGGGGGCAGGGGGTATTTGCGGTAGGGTTGGGGTCCAAGGGGTGGGATAAAGGGTCGGGGGCATTTGGAAGACAGCATGGGGGCTCCAAGAGCAGCAGGATATTGAGTGGGAGGTTCAAGAGCATCAGGTGGAGTGGATTGAGAGGTCGGGGGACATTCAGGGGACAGGGTTGGGGTCCAGGAGCATCAGGAGGAGTGGGATGAGAGGTCAGGGGACATCTGGGGAGCAGACTGGGGGCTCCAAGAGCAGCAGCGTATTGAGTAGGGGGCAGGATGCGTTTGGGAGAAAGAGCAGGCATCAAGGAGCATCAGGAGAGATGAAACGAGGAGTCAGAGGGCATTTGGGGGACAGGGTTGGGGTCAAACCCACCACGGGGCGGGGACCCCGGGGAAGCTCCCCGTGTCCCCTGACCCCCCTCGCCGCTCCGCACAGCCCCAGCGATGCTGCGGTCCCTGCGCCCCATCCCGCAGCTGTGCCCGCGGCTGTGCCCCCCGGGGCCGTGGCAGCCCCGGCGCCGCCTGGCCGCGCCCCCCGGCGCCGCTGGGCTCCCGCTGCGGCAGCGGCTGTGCGTGGCGGGCGCGGTGGCGGGCGCGGCGGCGGCGGGCTGGCTCTACGTGCGGCAGCAGAAGGAGCGGCAGCAGCGCTCCCGCCGCCTCCAGCAGCTCCGCCGGCTGGCGCTGGGCCAGGGCGACTTCCAGCTGCAGGACACGTCGGGGGCGGCGCGGAGCAAGGCGGATTTCCTGGGCCGCTGGGTGCTGCTCTACTTCGGCTTCACGCACTGCCCGGACGTGTGTCCCGAGGAGCTGGAGAAGCTGAGCCGCGCCGTGGAGCTGCTGGAGCGCGACCCGGCGCTGCCGCCGCTGCAGCCGCTCTTTGTCACCGTGGACCCCGAGCGCGACGACGCGGCGGCGCTGGCGCGGTACCTGCGGGACTTCCACCCGCGCCTGCAGGGCCTCACCGGCACCCCCGAGCAGGTGCGGGCCGCCGCCAACGCCTTCCGCGTCTACGTCAGCGCCGGGCCCCGCGACGACGACGGCGACTACGTGGTGGATCACTCGGTGCTCACGTTCCTCGTGGATCCCGACGGCGTTTTCCGGGACTGCTACGGCCGCTCCCGCACGGCCGAGGAGATGGCGCGCAGCGTCAAGGGACACATGGACGCCTACGAGCCGCTGCCCCCCGCGGGAGGGCAATAAACGGCCGTGACCCCCACCCCCGGAGCAGGGTCTGTCGTGATTTGGGGTGTGGGGGAGGGACAGATGGCAACCCCCGGTGTGTCCCATGGGAGGGACAGAGCCCACAGCCTCTGAGGAGTGTCACATGGCAGGGGAGAGACACTTGGCAGCCCCCAGGGGCATCCTGTGGGAGGGACAGAGCCCACACCTTGCAGGGGTGGCACATGGAGGGGGACATCTGACACGTCCAGTGTCCCCCAGGTGTGTCCCACGGGAGGGAGGGAGGGACGGAGCCCATACCCTGCAGGAGTGTCACATGGCAGGGAAGGGACAGCTGACCGCCCCCAGGTGTGTCCCATGGGAGGGACAGAGCCCTGACACCCTGCAGGGGTGGCACATGGCAGAGAGGGGACACCTGACAGCCCCCAGTGTCCCCAGGAATGGTCTGGGATGAGGGAAGTTTTGCGTGGGCAGGTGGAGTGACCCCCAGGTGTGTCCTGTGAGGGGGAGAACGTGGGTGAGCAGGTGGAGGGACCCCCACCAGCCCCACTGCCCCCCAGCAGTGTCCCATGCTGGGGAGGGACCCCTGCAGCCCCCCGGGAGCGTCCCATGGGGCAGGGGGCTCTGCATAGGTGAGTGAAGTGACCCCTCCCCAAAGGTAGGTGGGCAGAGGGACCCCCCAGGCCCCTCCCCATGGCTGGGGGTCCCTGTGCAGGTGTATCCTGTAACCCCCCCATGCCCATTACACCCCCCCCCAGGGAAGAGGCCTCTCCTTAGCAAAGGGGGGGGGGTTTATTGGGGGCCGGGGTCTCTCTGGGAGGGCAGCTGGAAGTGCTGGAACCTCTCGTGCGCCGGGCGGGCCGAGAGCAGCCGCAGCCGCGCCGTGTCCAGCGCCGCCTCCAGCCCCGGCTCCTGCGCCAGCTCCACCTCCGCGTCGTTGGCCTGGGGAGGGGACAGAGGGTGGCAGGGGGGGTCCTGGCACACCCAGCGACCCCCCAGGGAGCCCCCAAAGCCTTACCAGCTGCAGCGAGGCCAGCAGGTAGCGGCACACCTCGAACGGGGGCTGCCCGGCCACCAGGCTGGCCAGAGAGTGCCACCGGCCCAGCTCCGCGCAGCGCCCGGTCAGTGCCAGCCCGTAGGCACGGACATCGAAGGGGACACGGCTCTCCTGGGGGACAGCGAGGGGACAGGGAGTGTCACCAGTCAGTGCCAGCCCCTATCCATGGACATGGAATGGGACATGGCTCTCCTGGGGGACAGCAAGGGGACAGGGAGTGTCACCAGTCAGTGCCAGCCCGTAGGCGCGGACATCGAAGGGGACACGGCTCTCCTGGGGGACAGCAAGGGGACAGGGAGTGTCACCAGTCAGTGCCAGCCCCTATCCATGGACATGGAATGGGACACGGCTCTCCTGGGGGACAGCGAGGGGACAGGGAGTGTCACCAGTCAGTGCCAGCCCCTATCCATGGACATGGAATGGGACATGGCTCTCCTGGGGGACAGCAAGGGGACAGGGAGTGTCACCAGTCAGTGCCAGCCCCTATCAATGGACATGCAATGGGACATGGCTCTCCTGGGGGACAGTGAGGGGACAGGGAGTGTCACCAGTCAGTGCCAGCCCCTGTCCATGGACATGGAATGGGACACGGCTCTCCTGGGGGACAGGGAGAGTCACCGATCAGTGCCAGCTCATAGGCCCGGATGGGGAACAGGGCACAGGACTCCTGCAGGTATGAGGGGACAGGGTGGGCAGGGTCTCAGGGGTGCTCAAGTGTGGGCAGGGGGCTCAGAGTGGGTGGGTACTGGGTGTTCAGGGGTGAGCAGGGCAGTGCCACCCCCTGCCCAGCCCGGGCAGTGCCCCCCAGGTGCCAGCCCAGCCCGGGTCCGTGCCTGCTCCTGCAGCAGCGGCTCCACGCGCTCCTCCCACTGCCGGATGCGCTGCGACAGCTCCGTCTCCTGCGCGAACTTCTGCGAGCTGGCCATGAACAGCTCCTGGGGACAGGGACAGCAATGGGGACACGTCCGAGCCTCCTGGGGACACCTTGACCCTCTGGAGTCGCCCCCAGGTCCCCACACCAGCACCTACCACGTTCCTGCGCACCAGCTCCTCGTAGCCAGGTTCGGGGGGGTCTGTGGGAAAAGGGGTCACCAGAGTGGGGGACAGCACCCTGCCACCCCCCTGGGAGGGACAGGGGACCCTCAGGGACAGATGGGCCAGGGAACTGGGGAGGGAAGGGTCAGCAGCTCACCCAGGTTTCCTTCCTCCAGCTCCTCTGGCACCTCAGGCTCCATGTCCTCGTGCTCCACAAAATCATCATCATCCCCATCTGCCAGGATGGGGACACTACTCAGTGTCCCCTGAGACCCCTTCAGTGTCCCCTGAGACCCCCCCAACCTTCTAGGACCTCCCCCCCCCTAGACCCCCAGGAAGGAAAGAAAGGCTCCCCAGGCTGGGGGGATTTGGGGTTTTGGGTTCCAGCACCTGCCCCTTCATCGCTGTCGGCACCACGCTCCTGGTCCAGCTCTGGCTCTGGCTCCCTCAGCAGCTCCTGGGGGGAGGAACAGCCCTGAGCTCCCCTGAGCACCCCCAGAGCATGGCAAGGGGATGCTGGAGCCCCCCAGCCTCCCAGTTTAGCCCACACCCCGCTCACCCCCCGGCTCCGGAGCTTCCTGTGCGCCGCCAGCCGCTCCTTGAACTGCCGCCAGTACAGCACCTCCAGGTCTGCAGGGGGTGGGAGCAGGGATTTGGGATGGCCCCTCTGCACCCCCCCAAAGCAGAACCCTCCCAGGCACCCCAGGCCCTTCCCCTTTGCAGGAGCTGCTGTCCATTCCCCCCAGTTTTGGGTGTCCTTCCCCTCCACGCCCTCCCCACTGCAGGATCCAGTCCCTGGTGTCCATTCCCCTCCCCAGTTTTGGGTGTCCTTCCCCTCCATGCACTCCACGCTGCAGGGTCCCATCCCTGCTGTCCATTGCCCTCAGTTTTGGGATGTCCTTCCCCTCCTTCCTACCCCACTGCAGGATCCAGTCCCTGGTGTCCCCCCCAGGTTTTGGGTGTCCTTCCTCTCCATGCCCTCCCCACTGCAGGATCCAGTCCCTGGTGTGTCCATTCCCCCCAGTTTTGGGTGTCCTTCCCCTCCATGCCCTCCCCACTGCAGGATCCAGTCCCTGGTGTGTCCATTCCCCCCAGTTTTGGGTGTCCTTCCCCTCCATGCCCTCCCCACTGCAGGATCCAGTCCCTGGTGTCCATTCCCCCCTCAGTTTTGGGGTGTCCTTCCTCTCCATGCCCTCCCCACTGCAGGATCCAGTCCCTGGTGTCCCCCAGGACAGGGAATGTGTCCCTGCCCTTGTCCCCTCACCTGCAAAGGTGGGGCCCTTCCTCCTGCTTTTCCGTCCCTCTGTGACGTTGTTGTCTGGGGCGAGCAGATCAGGAACAATCATTGGATGGAAATTCCATGGATTTATCAAAGTTGGAAAAGCCCCCTGAGCCCATCAAGTCCCCCCCAGCACTGCCAAAGCCACCCCTGCCCGTGTCCCCAAGTGCCACATGCACAGGGCTGTTAAATCCTTCTGTTAAAGATTTTTAAATCCTTTTGGATCCCAATCCCACAGAAATCACTCACAGGCTGCAGAGAACCATCTCGTGAAATCCTGGAGCTTCCTCGGGCTCCTCCTCTTCCTCTTGCCTCCAACCACATCATCCAGGCCGTGTGGCACCAGGAAGGGCCTCCCTGCAGGTGACACAGGTGACACCGGGTGTGCGGCCACCACCAGGGGCTGGGAAGGGGAAGGGGCCCCTCTGGATGTCATGGGGCTGGAATGACCCAGTGTGGGGACAGGGACATTTGAGGATGTCCAGTGTGGCTGGGAGTGACCCCCTGTGGGGCTGGGAAGGACCTGCCATGGGGATGGCACATGGGGCTGGGAATGTCCCCCTGTGGGAGCAGGAGTACCCCACTGTGGGACTGGGGACACTGAGGGACACATAGCCAAGAATGACCCTCCCATGGGACTGGGAAGGATCCACCATGGAGCTGGGAATATGAGGGATATGGGGCTGGGAATGACCTTCCATGAGCTGGGAATGTCCCCCTGTGGGACTGGGAAGAACCCACCATGGGGCTGGGAATAACCCGCTGTGGGGCTGGGGACACTGAGGGACACGTGGCCAGGATGACCCACCACAGGCTGTGCTGTCCCTGCTCCCCTGGAGCTGCCCAGTTTCCCCCAAAATACCTTTCCTGAAGGGCTTCTCCTCGGAGTCTCCAAAAGGGTCGAGGCTCTGCCACGGATTGGGCTCCTCCTGGCACAGGGGTGAGCATGGGCAGGGGCTCTGGGGCATCCCAGATTTGGGATCTCCCTGGCTCAGATTTGGGATCTCCCTGGCTCCAGGCCCCCCTTACCTTGCTGAGGGCTTTGGGGTCGTGGCTTGGGGCTCTCTCCCGCAGGACGTACCCCCGGGTCCGGGGCGTGCTCTGGGGGACATGGAGAGGGACAGTGAGGGACTGGGGGGCAGGGAAGGGCTGGGCTGGGGGGATCCCGGGCTCCAGGAAAGGAGCAAGGGGATCCAGGGAAGGAGCACAAGGCTCTGGGGAAGGAGTGAGGGGATCCAGGGAAGGAGCACAGGCAGCCCCCCAAGCCCCTGCCCCACACAGACCCTCTGAGCCACGATGTGTTCGTTAGGGACCGGGGTCACTTCCATGTCAGCCCCCAGGGGGGCCCCGGGAACGTCGTCATCCTCAGGTCCTGCATCATCTGGAGGGGTGGGAATGGGCAGAGGCTGGAGAAGCTTCCAGAACCGCCCATTCCCACCCTGTCTGCCAAGGAATCCCCCCAGGAGCTTCTCCTGCCAGGGCAGGGGCAGCAGAGGGCAGGAGCAGGGAATGCTGCAGTTGGTAGGGTTGGAAAATCCCCCAGAGCCCAAATCCAAGCGTTCCCAGCATTGCCAGGGCCACCACTGCCCACGTCCCCAGTGCCACATCCACAGGGATGTTAAACCCCTCCAGGGACAGGGACCTCACCCCTGTGCCAGGGCTGCAC